AAGCCAGGTTAATTTGGGCAGAGCTGCTTGTAGGCTGGACAATATGGACTGCTCTATGGAGGGTGATTTTCAGGCTTTCTAGAGTTAAAATTGTGGAGAACCAATTCCAGCATGTAATAATTACAAGAGTTTTACCAAAAGGTTGGTGAAGTTTGGGGAGCCCAATAGGGCTGAGTCACATGTAGTTTACCGTTGGAAACGGCTAAAGAGCACTTCCCCCAAACCTGAATAGGATTGTTAACCTCCAGACAGCTCAGGGCATTTTATTGCCTCCTGTTGGCCAAACACCTGAACAACTGTAGGCTTTTCCCCAAACTGACAATGTTTCTGTATATCCTTTGATATCGGACCCTCTGAAGTGTATATTTCTACATTGCCTCACAGGGTCCTGAGACAAGGAGTCTTCTAGCTCCTTCAGCTGAAGCTCCTCTGACCCTCAATGCCTTTCAAAACTATCTTTGGTCTTGGACTCCTTCTTAATCATCTACACACAGCTCCTATCTCCAGAATGCTGAACCCTTTGTAAGGTTGGGGAAAAGAACCCTGTCATAAAATAGCTGCTGCCTCGAGCTTTTTTAGGTATGAAGGCCATCCTAAAACTGTGTTGTCTAACTGCTTGGAGAGATATGCAACTGCCTGGAGAGTGGGCCCCTTGTACTGTCCCAAGAGTCCTACTGCTGTTCCCTGTCTTTCAGTAGTATATAAACAGAAAGGTTTAGGCATGTCGGGGAGGGGGAGGGCCAGGGCCTAAGGAAGGGTCTCTTGGAGAGTTTTGAAGGGAGAGGATATAAGAGTGGAAGAATCTAAGGGTTCATGAGGGCCTCATTAGGCCACCTGGTATAGGGGTTTTGCTAAAACAGCATAGTTGGGGATCCACTGACAAAAGTATCCAGTGAGACCTAAGAAGGTCAGGAGTTCTTGTTTGGTTGTTGGAGTGGGAATTTTGGAGAAGAGGTATCTTCAGGTTATCTGAGCTATGCAGTATTCAAGGCTGAAAGCTTTTTATAAGATATCTGTAAGCAAAATAAGTTTTCTCTGCCCCATTTTATTCTTTTTAACCCTTTCAGCCCTTTGCCCATTTCTTAATTGGATTGTCTTCCTTTTGTTAAGTTGTATGAGTTCCTTATATATTTTGTATATTAACCCTTTATCAGATGTATCATTGCCAAATATATTCTTCCATACGTGAGCTCTCTTTTTGTTTTGTTGATGGTTTCTTTTGCTGTGCTGAAGCTGTTCAATTTGATGTAGTCCCATTTGTTTATTCATTAGTCCTAAGACTTAGGAGATGTATCTGTAATATATCCCCAGAATTATTTTTTGTTTGTTTATATTTTCATGAAATATCTTTTTCCATTCTTATACTTTCACTCTGTATGTGTCTTTCAATTTGAGTTACTCTCTTGTAGATGACATATTGATAGATAAGGATGTTGTTTTATAATCCATTCAGCCACCATATGTCTTTTGATTGGAGCATTTAATCAATTTGCATTTAAAGTAGTTGTTGAAAATCAAGCCTAGGACCAGGAATGTTTAGGGCCTACTCAAGAAGACAAATAATTCTTTCCACTAATATACACAGGGTAAAATACAATTGTTGTTAGAGTGTTGAGTTTGAGCCTGGAACTGGGGTTCAGTGCAGTTGGAAGTAGGGTTCAGTGCAGTCTGGAGCTTTTGTCTCCTTCCCATTAGGGCAATCCAGCAGCACAGTCAATAGTCCATTCTCTGTGGGCAATGTGCGCAACTCCAGGGCTTTGCCTTTCACCCCTCCCCTGAGTTTCTGCCTTACAGCCTAGAATCCCTCTGTATGAGCCTGGATACCCAGGATCTCTCCCAGAACTAGGGTTCAGTGCAGTCGGAACTTGTGTTCAGCACAGTCCAGAGCTTTTATCTCCTTTCTGCTAGAGAACGCCAGCCAGGCACTCAGCCGCCCCTTCTCTCCGGCTCCATCCTCTCCCCATGCGCACACCGTGTCTCGTACCTTAGGCTTTTATAGCTCCTCTGATTTTCCTTCTGGTTTTCTCTTTCCTTCTAGTTATAGAATTTCCAGTCAGTCAAGTTTCATATAGTTCTGGATAATGTCCATTTTGCATTTTTTTTAGTTATATATTTTTGAAATTGTTGTGTGAGGCTGCAGTTAGGTGTTTACCTATGCCTCCATCTTGGTTCCTCTCTAGAAGATTCTTGAGTAACCTTATAAATGTGATTCTGAACTCTGTGTTGTCCAGTAGTTTACTTTCCTCCATCTTTCCCATTCGTGACATGCTTCTGTGTCTCCACATTTTGGTTGCCCCCCTGTGTTGATGGAATGGCTTTGTATGGTAGGTGACCTATAGGGGCCAGTAGCTCAGCTTCCCCAATCACCCGAGGTGGTTGCGCTTGGTACACCCCTTTTTGGGCTGAGTGCAAAATCTTGGTGTAGTTAAGCCTTCACTGCTGTTGGTGCACTGGGAGGAATTGACCTCCAGGTCAATTGGCTGTGAGGACCTGCTGTGTCTTGTTCACATTCAATATGATTGAAATAAAACAAAAATGCTGGTTTTTTTTTCTTTTTATAAAGGCAATACTTGTTCATTGTAGAAAATTTGGAAAATTTGGAAAAATAACAAAATATTATCCATAACAATAAATAACATCCTAAACTTTCTGTTAAAAATGTCAACATAGTTTTCTATTTCCCCAGATATTTAAGAGCCTACTGTATATATAGATTTGATCTTTTAAAACCTAAAAATGTCTTCACCATTGGAAACATTTTGCAAAACTTGTTTTCAACTGAGATTTTAAAACTCAAGTTCCAAAAGTAAACATTTTTAGCCAAAACCGGTTTGGCTCAGTGGATAGAGCATCCGCCTGCGGACTGAAGGGTCCCAGGTTTGATTCCAGTCAAGGTCATGTACCTTGGTTGTGGGCACATCCCCAGTAGAGGGTGTGCAGGAGGCAGCTGATTGATGTTCCTCTCTCATCGATGTTTCTGACTCTCTATCCCTCTCCTTTCCTCTCTGTTAAAAAAAAAACAATAAAATATATTTTTAAAAAAAGTAAACATTTTTGAAGATTTGGAAAATACAGATAACTCAACATCTTGAGATTACTGTTAACATTTTGGTGTACCCTGTTTTGCTATTGAATTATAAATTTTGGGGGCATTCATATACATGTACAATTATGTATAATCCTATGTAATAAAAGGCTAATATGCAAATTGACTGAACTGCAGGATGACTAGTCGCTATGATGTGCACTGACCACCAGGGGGCAGACGTTTAATGCAGGAGCTGCCCCCTGGTAGTCAGTGTACTCCCATAGGGGGAGTGCCGCTCAGCCACAAACTGGGCTGATGGCTGGCAAGTGCAGTGGCAGTGGTGGGAGCCTCTACTGCCTCTGTGGCAGTGCTAAATTGTCCGTCGGACATCCCCTGAGAGCTCTTGGACTACAAGAGGGTGCAGGCTGGGCTGAGGGACTCCTCCTCATTCTCCCCTCCCCCAAGTTTAAAATATATGCTTCATACTCATACATGTTTGTCATAATATATTTAACCAATTGTCTCCAAAAGATACCAATTGGAACACACTCAACAAAATAGCCTGAGTGCTAAAAAAAACATATTCTCAAAACTTTTGAGAATGCATCAGGTAAAAGATCATTTTATTGATATAATTCAGCAATTTTCAACCTTTTTCATCTCACGGCACACATAAACTAATTATTAAAATTCCGTGGCACACTGAAAAAAATTATTTTGCTGATCTGATAAGAAAAGATATAATTTTAATTCATTCACATTAGACAGCTATTGTGCGGGCTGCCATTTTAGAAATATTTTTAAAATATATTTTTATTGATTTCAGAGAGGAAGGAAGAGAGAGAAACATCAATGAGAATCATTGAACAGTGCCTGTTACACACTGGGGATCAAGCCCACAACCCAGGCAGGTGCCCTAGACTGGAATCAAACCTGGGACCCGTCAGTCTTCAGAACAAGGATCTATCACTATTCACTGAGCCAAGCCAGCTAGGGCTGTTGTTATTTGTTTATTTATTTTTTAACAAATATTTTTCATTCTTAATATGTTTTTTAAAAAAATTGATTTTTAGAGAAAGAAAGGGAGAGGAGGTAGGAAGAGAAAGAAATATCAACGAGTTGCCTCTTTTAGAACCCTAGGGGTGGGGGATCAAACCCTTAAACCTGAGTATGTGCCCTGACCAAGAATCAAAACAGCAATCTTTAGGTGCACTGGACCACGTTCAACCAAGTGACCCACACCGGCCAGGGCTGCTGTCATTAAAAAAAAAAATATTTCTTTATTGATTTCAGAGAGGAAGGGAGAGGGATAGAAAGCTAGAAAAATCAATGATGAGAATCATTGATCGGGTGCCTCCTGCACGCCCCCTATTGGGGGTCCAGTCCACAATCCGGGCATGGAATCTGGAACCCTGAAGGCTGTCGCTCTATCCACTGAGACAAACCGGCTAGGGCTGTCTTATTTATTTATTTATTTATTTATTTATTTATTTATTTATTTATTTATTTTTATTTGACAATCTAAGGGAAAATAGGTAATTGTCCCTGATTAAATAATCAGGTAGTGCATGTTTTAAAAATTCTTGCGGCACATCTTTGAAAATCGCGGATCTAGTTTCTAGCCTATGGCTGCTGATAAACACTTATTTCCCACACCAGCGCTGCCCACTCGCTGACAGCATAAGGAGTCTGACCCGGGCCCTGCAGGCACTGGGCCGGGAGGGGCCTGCCGGACGTCAGTGAGCGCTGCGTGAGGAACGCTGTGGGCGGTGCGCAGCCGGATGTGCGCAGTCAGCCGGCCGCCGCCGTGGGCGAGGCGCATAGCGCTTACGCAACACGCACGCGGGGCGGCCCTCTCCTCTGCCGGCGACGGCGCTGCGTCACTGGCTCTCAGGCGCTGGGCGAGTGGAAACGGTGACTGCTGGGCCTCCGTGCTGGCCTGTCGCGCCCTGGGGTCCAGGCGGGCGGCGCGATGAGGCGCAGCAAAGCGGAGGTGGAACGGTACATCGCTTCGGTGCAGGGTTTTACCCCGTCGTCCCGAGAGGTGAGCCGGTACTGAAGAGACGGGTGGCTTCCGTCCGGGCCTGGCTGTGGCCCCGCGTGGCGCCCGCCTCTCGCCCTCCTCCCGGCTCCCGGCGGCCGCCGCCCTCCGGGACTTCTGTTGAGGCGTCGGCCGGCTTGCGCGGTCTGATGGCGGCGTGTGGTTCTCGAGCTTGAGGGGCACTGGAAGCGGGGGGAGGCCGCGGCGGGCGGCCGTGGGTGCCACGCTTCCTCTGTGGCCCCTCCGCCTGTCCTCCCCCGCGGGCCCGGCCTTACCGGCTTCCTCGGGCGCGGGCCGCCCGCAGGGCCCCGTTCCCGGGCGTGGGCGCCTGCCATGGCCGGCGGGGTTTTTTTCGCCGCCGGGACAGTTACCCGCCGCAGCGGAGGCGACGCTTTCGGGCCGTGGAGGTCGGTGGAACCCTGCGGGTTGGCACCGCTCCGGGCTGGGCTGTGCTGCCAACGGGTCCATCGTGGGCGTGCAGGTGACCGAAGTGGGCACCGTCACACCTGCAACTGCCGCGCTAGTAGACCGCGCGAACGACGCTGGAAGCTCTCCGTGTTTTGAGCCCCCCACCTCGCCCCAGCACTTTTTGAAAACTTAATTGCTTTTTAAAATAGCATTTTTCCTCTTTTAAAATAAATAACGTACTAGATATATTTTGTATTCAACGTGACTTTAGGGATTCTGTGTCTTGTGTGAGGAAAAAGGAATTAAGGGTGGCTGTGCACAGACAGAATCTTGAGTCGGGTTGCCTGTGGTTGAATCTGCTCTGCGGTTTATAAGCTGTGGGATTTGAGTCAATTTAAACGTATTTCGTCAATAAGATGGAGCATATAGGATAATCCATGTTGAGCATTTAGGGCAGTGCTTGGCACATAGAACTAAAATGTTGATGTTAAAAAGAGTCAGTCATTCTGACCTGATGTGAGCAAGGACCTATGAGAATAAAAATAAATGGGTAGTTTTTTTTAAAAAAACCCCGAAAACTCGAGGATCAGCAAGATAATTGTATGTTTTGTCATATACTAGGCATTTGTTATCTCATTTTGTGCTTCCAACAACCATGTGGATATTGACACATGGAGAAATTAAAGATACTTGTCCAAGTTCAATAGGTGAGTCGGCAGGACTTTGTTAGTGGGTCTAATTTAGTTTTTTCAGGAATAGTGAAGTAGGTTACAGCCTGTTTCTCCAGAGAAGAATGGGTACCTAGAAATTTTTGGTGTAGTCATGAACACATATATGGTGTCAGAATCTAAAACAGAACCTTATTAAGGGTTTCTGTACCCTTGAAATTGATACTACTCCCTCACCCCATGGAAAATGTGTTTTATTTATTCTCATTTTTATTTTTTAATTCTTTATTGTTTATTAGATACCACTTTTTTTTTTTTTTTTTTAAAGCAGGATAAAAGCTTTCATGAGATTGTTAGTGGGCACCCTTGCTCCCCAAAATTAAGAACCGTTGGTCTAGACAGAAGTTAGAATGTTCTTTGATCTACCTAGCTCTTCCATCAAAGAGGGTTGGCAAATTTTTAAGGACTGGTTATTATGGCCATCTCTCTTCTACATTTAAAGAGTATTATTTTAATAAGATGTTTTTCTTCAAACAAGGAGAAATAGTTTACTTTAGAGCCTGGTGATTTCAGTGGAATATTGATTAACTTTGGAACTTGTGATGTTATTTGGTAAACTTGCCTCTAAGTGAACAAAAACAGGTGCTTTGGGTAACGGAAGGGAGATGGTGGAGGCAGCAGTGACAGGCGCTGTGAAGAGTAGAAAGACTAGTACCATGTTTCTCCGAAAATAAGACAGCCTCTGAAAATAAGACCTACTTACAGGTTTCCTTCTGAGTGAAATATAAAGCATCCCCCGAAAATAAGGCCCCCCTAGGCTAAACATAAGAGATTTGGTCCACTGATTCTGAAAGAAATGGAGTCACAAGAAATTCACCAGGAAATTCAGTAATTGGATTGTTATGATGATGTTCCAGAAGATGATGACATGGTTGTCATTGGATAAATGAGTAAATTCTTGATACTTTAGGATTCACAGTTTGTCTGGTTTGTGTTGACAACTACTGTACCGTATACAGGTAATAAATTTCCTTTATTTTCATTTAACAATAAATGTGTATCGTATTCTTCATGGAAAAATAAGACATTCTCTGAAAATAAGACCTAGCATATCTTTGGGAGCAAAAATTAATATAAGACACTCTTATTTTTGGGGAAACAGGGTATTTACTTAGCTCCCATTTGGCAGAGACTGCACCTGTGGAAACTGCTCATGCTTTCTAGGTTGGCCCAGTTCTGGAGTGAGGTGATGGGTTCATATTTTCATATTTTCCCTTGCTTCCATTTGTTCATCTCTTTTGTTTTGCCATTTTTCTTCTCATTTACATTCAGCTCTTGTTGAAATTTTCACTTGTGTTTTTTAATTTTTATTTTTCCAGATGGCTTCTATTTAGTTTTTTTAGATTTCTGTTTAGTTAGCTTTTAATTCTAGACTCTTGCTTTTCTAATCCTTGGAAACAATTTGACAACTTTTAGTTGTTTGTCCTACCATTTACAGCTGTACTTCTATATAACATAAATACTTTTATTTCTTGATCTTCTACCCTCCTTTTTCGACACTTCTCTGTTCCTCCAGGCGTCTGCCGACAAATGTTTTTTTCCCACCCCTTGTTCTTCCAGAACTGTTTCTATAATTTTTTTTTTTTTGTGTGTGTGTGTTTTTGTGTTTGTTTCTGTAATTTTTAGTAACGACTATAGAAATGATCCCTGAAAGTAGTCTTTGTTTCTGTAATTTTTAAATGAATATTTATTGTTTATATAATATGAGAAGGTATATGTCTTTGTACTTGAGTTGTCTTTATTGTGTTTTATTTTTTTCTGGAGTTAACAATTGGTTTATTTTTTGGTGTGTTTAGCTTTCTGTGATGTATTACTAATTCTTTACTCAAACCCATTTAAACTCTCAAGTGTGATTAAACAGTTCACATCACCCACAATTTCAAGTTAAAAAACATTTTTTTTTTCAAGTGTCTTCCTTCTGGAGCACTCTCGTTGTACTGCTCCAGCCTGGAGTGGTTTCTGTTTCTCTTTCCTACACAGCTGTGTTCCTGGGACTTTTCCTTTATCATCATTTTGAGAAATGCCTTCACTTTTCTGTGTTAGACTCTTGGTTTCTTGTAACTCTTGTCCTCTTGACTTATTTCCTCTGTTTTGGTTTAGTACAATCTCCAGTTTGCTTTGAGAAGGAATAAGGGGGAATTTCTAGTGTGTCTGATTACCTAACTTAACTGATAGTTTGGTTATCAGATTCTAGATTTCAAATAATTATTTCCTCAATTTTGAGAGCATTGCTTAATTTTCTGATCTTTTATACTATTGTTAGATGTTTTATGTGATTCTTGTTGATAGCTTTTAGGTTTTCTGAATATCCTATTCAATTGGCAAACATTTCTTTCAGTTCTGGGACATTTCTTTGAGTAACTGTCTTTTTTTTTTTTTTTTTGTCATCTTTGAGATGTGTGTGTTTATTTTTATTTTTAAACTAGAGGCTCATTGCACGGATTTGTGCACTGATGGGGTACCTTAGCCTGGCCTGCACTCTCTCGCAATCCAGGACCCCTTGGGGGATGTCGGATAGCCAGTTTCATCCTGATTCCTGCAGGCCCGATCCAGACAGGAGGGAGCACAATCCCAGAAAGCTAGATCCACCAGACAGGAGGGAGCCCAATCCTGTGCATTTAATGTCTGTCCCCTGGTGGTCAGTGCATGTCATAGTGACCAGTTGCTTAGGCTTTTATTATATAGATTACAGTTTACATTAAGTTTTGTTCTTCTCTTTTTAATATGCTTTTAAAAATTTATTTTAGGGAAAGAGAGAGAGAAACATTGATGAGAGAGAAACATTAATTGGTTGCCTCCTGCACACCCCCTACTAGGAATGGAGCCCACAACTTGGGCATTTCAACTTTTGGTACTGGAGACTACACGCAACCAACTGAGCTACACCAGCCAGGGCTCAATATTGTTTCTTAGTAATTTCAGATATACAAAATAGTGTTTAGAAAATCGTGTACTTTACTGAATGGGCCCTCTGATGCTTCTAGTACCCACCTGTCCCCATACATAGTAATCATGATACTAGAAGTCTGATGTATGAAATTCATGCAAGGGGCTCAGTCTTCACAGCCTCGGCCCTTGCTGCCTTGGCGTTGTCCCGAAGGATGTTCAGAAGGTTGTCTGCCTGTCTGGTCTAATTAGCATATTATGCTTTTATTATTATATATTATTGACTATATTCCCCATGCTGTAATGTACATCTCTGAGACTATTCTGTAACTAGCAATTTGTACTGCAAATCCCTTTACCTATTTCATCCAAAATCCCTCTCCTCTGACAGTTGTCAGTCTGTTCTCTATGAGTTTATTTCTATTTTATTTTGTTCTTTGATTTCACATGTAAGTGAAAGCATGATTTGGTTTTGGTTTGGTCCTCCACATTTTCCTCTCTTATTTATGTTGTCTTCTCTTTGTTCTTATTTATTTTTTAAAAGAGATTTCCCTATAACCTTATTTTACAGGAGTAAAACAAAGACATTATAAGAAAAGGTAACTACAGACCAGCAATGCTCACAAACATAGATGCAAAAGAAATCCTCAAGAAATATTAGTAACTGAATTCTAAAAATGTGTTAAAAGCAGCATATATTGTAACCAAGTAGTATTTATCCCAGGTATGCAACACTAGCTCAGCAAAAAACAATTCATAAAGCAATTCAGCATTATCTACAATCTGATTCCAAAGTTTATGTAGAATGGCAATAATAATAATAATAGCCAGCAAGATGTTGAAGGAAAAGAAAGTTGGAGGACAGACACTACCTGACTTCAATACAAAGCTAGAGTAATCAAGACAATGTGTGATAAAAGCAAAAGTATAAAAAGTAAAATGGAACAGAAGAGAGTGCCCAGAAATGAGTCAAATAACTGC